GGGAGCAAGCCGAGGCCGCCATCAGCACCTTCCACCAGAGCTGCCTGCGGGAGCGCGAGCTGTCTGTGCAGCTGCAGCCCGCTGACGCCTTGCTCTGCGTGGCCAACCTGCCCCCCAGCCTCACGCAGCAGCAGTTCGAGGAGCTGGTGCGGCCCTTCGGCAGCCTGGAGCGCTGCTTCCTGGTCTATAGCGAGCGCACTGGCCATTCCAAGGGGTATGGCTTTGCCGAGTACATGAAGAAGGACTCGGCTGCCCGTGCCAAATCGGACCTGCTGGGCAAGCCGCTGGGCACGCGCACCCTCTATGTGCACTGGACAGATGCGGGGCAGCTGACACCCGCCCTGCTCCACTCCCGCTGCCTCTGTGTTGACCGCCTGCCCCCTGGCTTCAGTGACGTGGACGCCCTGCGTCAGGCTCTGTCGGCTGTCCACACACCGACCTTCTGCCAGGTGAGCTTGTGCCTGGAGTGGGAACCTGGGGAGCAGATGCCAGGCCTGGAGCACCTGGGCGGGGTCCTTTGGGTTCACCTGCCCTCCCCAGTCTCCCGGATCCCTTTTCAGTAAAGTGTTGGCATTGCCATTTTGAATGGGGTTCTTGTTAGGCCACTTGGTGGAGCTCAGACAGGAGCCAGATGACTAGGGCTCAAATCCCTGCATTCCCAAAATTATTTTCGTTGCTACTTCATAACTGTGATGTTGCTACTGTTATGAATCGTAATGTAAATATCTGATATGCAGGATGGTCTTAGGCGACCCCTGTGAAAGGGTCGTTCGACCGCCAAAGGGGGTGTGACCCACAGGTTGAGAACCTCTGCCCTAGTGCCTGGTTTAACCTCTCTGGCCTCTCCCCATGTGAAGTGCAAGTGAGGCTGCCTTTGTAAAAGCTGGGCAGAAGGCTTGTTCATCCCTCGTTCACCTTCACTTCTGCACTCGTTAGCTGTCTCTTGAACACCTACTGGGTCCCAGGCCCGCATTGGGGAGACTGCTCTGGAGGAGCCCACAGTCTGTTTAGCCTTAAGGTTAGAAAATGGATTGACCAGGTTCATTCTTAAGGGATTCAGTGTTCACACATTGGTTAGCAAAACATCCCTGGTTCATCCAAGTCACACTTGTCAGGCACGTCTGTATGTGTGCCCGTGACAAGCACAGTGGGGTGAGAATCGGCCAGGCCCAGCCCTGGCAGAGCCCCAGATGGTCTTGGCCTCCCCCAAGGCAGACGTTCCTTTAGCACTCACTGGATTCTGAGCACGTTATTGCTGTCCCTTTTTTTCCGTAACAACCTGTAACAGGTATTATCCCCATTTTCATGTGGGGACACTGAGGTACAGCGGGGTCAAGTAACATGCCCCAGGTTATGCAGCCAGGGCCTGGTAGAGCCAGGATTGGAACACTGCAGCCTGACTCCAGAGCCCCAGGCAGCCTAGAGGAAGCTGATACCTGACTCAGACCCCAGCTCTGGTGTTAGGTGGGGCCCACTCCTCTTGTATGAATGCTTTTAGGACTTGGGAATGGGACATGTGTAGGAACTCCTCTCCTTGCTCTCAGCATTCATTCATGCTCCTGTACCTACTGTGTGTTAGGCCCTGGGTGGGGCTCAGGACATGGATGAATTAGTTCGATGGCCACTTCCTCACGCGGAGGTTGAGGTTGGCAAGAACTACAAGTTCTCTCTTTGAGCCTCAGTTTCCCCATCTGGTTGCCTTTTGACCCTCTGAGTCTCTGTTCATCTGTGATTGTGAGAAGATGTGTGTCCCGGCCTTGGTGTGGGGCCTGGCCAGAGATGGGCTGATGGCTGGAGGCTACCCTGCCTGGCACGCAAAGCGGGTGCTGGGCCCCAGCCAACAGCCTCCCTGAGCTACTATGGCTGGAGTGGGACCCTTCCCTGCCCTTGTTGAACATCTTATTGAATCCCTACAACTACCCTTTGAGGTAGATACAGTAGCTGCCCCACCTTACAGATGAGAAAACTGAGGGCCAGGGAGGGGCACCTGCCCAGGCCAGCCAGCCAGTTGGAGGTGGGCTGGGAGTCAAGGTCAGGCAGCTGACTCCAGGGCCTGTGCTCTTAACTGGTGCCCTTGCCTCCCACGATGGCCGATGCCACTCTGGGAATCTGCTGTTGTCCTGGGGATGGGGGGCTTTATTCTCAACATAATCAAGATGAGACCAAGGTCCCATAGCAACTCACTCTAAGGCACTTTGTCATTTATTCACAGGCAGATTTACATCTTATAGTTGCTTTATTTCATTACAGAGTTGCTTAAAAATGCTTGAATGTTATAAATATGTATAAAGCAGGTTTCACATGACCTTGTGAAAAAAGCCTTTTCCACTTAGTTGCTTTTCTGAAAGGACAGTCCAATCACATTTGGAAATTCAGCACATTCTGTGGTAAAGGCTCCCTCCAGCCCCCCAGCACTTTTCCTGCAGAGCCCCTGCTTGTACCAGTTTGTTGTGTCCTTCCAGCGAGATTTTATTAAGCGTTTTCAACGAATGTGTTTGTATGTTCCTGCATTCCTCTCTTGACCCATTCGTTGCTGTGCCTGCGTTGGTTTGGTTTTTCCACTCATTCTGTCTTGGGCATCTTTCGTTGTTCAGACATGAGAGCTTCCTCAGTCCCTTTGCAGCTGTGCCATATTCCATTTTATGGACTCTGGACCATTCCCTCCTGGTGGACACTGGGTTGGTCCCAAACCACCCTACCTCAGTCAGAACCCAGAGAAATGACACTAGTTCTTGGGAGAGCCATCGCCACCCTGAGGTGGCCAGTCCTGTTAAGGGTATCAGCTTTGCCTTGCTTGATCCCAGCTCCAGCTCTGTGGCCTGGGCAAGGGACTGCCACTCTCTGAGCCTCAGTTTCCTCATCTGCAGAGTGGGCATGCTGACAGGGCCTGCATCTGGACACAGTGAAGAGCCCAGCTGAGTGCTCTCACCCAGTATCTGCTTTCCCTGGGATAGCCTCCATCCACAATGCCAGCTCTCACAATATCCTGAAAACCAAGAGGTCTAGCAGCAGAGAACCAATGTGGGGCTGTCCGTGGCCTTTCTCTTAGTGTCTTGATGCAGAGCTACTTGCGTGTTTGATTTTCAGGGTGCCCTGGACCCCACTGGAGTGACTGATGTGTAATATGTATGTGTGGCATTCTTCCTTTCTGATTTCTTAAAAATTCTCAGTCTGGGAACACATCTGGCCTAAGGGCCTGGAGGAGGAGCTGTAAGCCTAAAGTACCAAATGGCTGCAATCAAGGGGGATGCACAGGCCTCCCTGGTCTGCCCGGGAGATCGCACCTCTGTTCCCTGTCCTGTGGCTCACTGGCTGTTACCTTTCACCTGAGCTCAGAGGCCGCTTGCTTTGCCCCCAGGCTCTGTGCCTTCCCAGCCCTGGCTGCAGTGTCCTTGGCCTGAGGCTCCTGACTTGGTGGTGCTCCAAAACCACCCACCGGCCTCTTTTCCAGCCAGCCCCTCCTCCCAGCCCTGAAACCTCAGCTTGCTTCCTATGCTCAGGAATCTCAAAGTCCCAAAGTGACACTGGCATGAAGCCCAAGGGAGTTGATCCCTATGAGACAGATCCCAGCGTTGTCCTCCCACCAGCTGTGTGACCTTGAGCATACTGACTTCTCTGAGCCTCAGTTGCCCCCTCTGAGAAATGGGTAGGATGCAGCTTCTCCAGGCCATAGAGAAGATTCAATGAGCTAATGAAGAACAGGGCTCAGAACAGTGCCAGGCCCAAAAATCTACCCTCTCTGGCGGGGAGGGGGTCTCTTAATCGGGATCCATGCCTGGTCACAGTTGTCACTCTATGTGAGAGTGGTCACTGCCCCCTGGCACTCACGTCCACCTCCCCGCACCCTCACCAGCTGGCGTACGGCCAGGATGGGCAGCTGAAGGGCTTCGCTGTGCTGGAGTATGAGACTGCCGAGATGGCTGAAGAGGTGCAGCAGGAGGCAGACGGCCTGGCCCTGGGGGGCAGCCACCTGCGCATCTCCTTCTGTGCCCCAGGACCCCCTGGGCGCAGCATGCTGGCTGCGCTCATCGCTGCCCAGGCCACGGTGAGTGTGTGCCCAGGGAGTGGGAATGGGAAGCTGGCGGCGCGGGGGGGTGGGGGGGGCAGGCCCTCCCTTGAGAAATCAGGCTCTTGGCGGTCACCACTCAGGTTCTGGGGGCAGTAGGGAAGGACGAGGCCTCACCTCTGTGGCCTGGCAGGGCTCTGAACCACCGTCCTTTTCTCTCCTCAGGCCCTCAATCGGGGCAAAGGACTCCTGCCTGAACCCAATATCCTGCAGCTGCTCAACAACCTGGGGCCTTCCGCCTCCCTCCAGCTGCTGCTCAATCCCCTGCTTCACAGCAGCTCGGGAGGCAAGCAGGGTAAGGCGTGTCGCGTGAACAGCGGGCGGGGTCCCCAGCCTCTCAGCCGGCGTCTCCCAGGGACTGTGTTCCCACCTGAGCTCCCTGTGACAAGAGCCCCATGAGCAAGAGCCGTGTTAAGAATGGAGGTCACCTGCACGGGGTCATAGGTGGGAGCATTGCAGCCTGCAGTGAGGCAAGGTGGTGGGAAAGGGGCCATCCTTTCCCAGGGCAGACTCCCTTCCCAGGCCCTTCCTTAGGGCTGTTCACTTGCTCTCTCATGGCTTCAGGTGCAGGGCTGCCTCTAATTGCAGAGGGGGGCTTCCATCCAGGGATCACCGCCCATTTCCCGGGTCTCCCTCCAGGTCTCCTGGGTGCCCCTCCAGCCATGCCACTGCTCAATGGGCCTGCTCTGTCCACGGCGCTGCTGCAGCTGGCCCTGCAAACCCAGGGTCAGAAGGTAACATGGGTGTGGGCCCTAGGTTCCCTCCTTACTCACATGTGCTGCCACAGCCCCTTCCTTTCAGTTTCAAACACTACTCACATCTGGGCCTTGCCTTCGGGGTTGTGGGCCATCTGGCTGTGTCCTTGGTGCTTGATATGGGGCCTGACCTGTCACGGGTGCCCAGGACTCAGTTTGGGGAAGAACCTGGCCCCACCAGGGAATAGAATGGCCTTTCACCCCTACTCTCTCACGCAAAGACACAAAAATAGACACACACACACACACAAATATACATACCATACCACTTCAGTGCACACACGGAGACACATGCAAAAACTGATATACATGGGGACACATACACACACAAAAATAGACACCACACCTTAGTATGGTACCGGTGTGTCAGACAGAGACATGTGCGTGCGCACGCGCGCACACACACACCACACATAGATGGACACAGAAAAATAGAACATACATGTACTACCCTGTCTGGTTTGATTCACTGGGGCCCTGTCAGTGTCATGAGTATGTCTGATGATAACTGACAGTGTGAAGTTGTGGGCTTGGACTTTTTCGTGTGTCTAAGAGACTGACTGAATCCATGTGTAGCTCAGAATGACTCCTTCCGTGATAATGAGCAGGAGGCTGGGTGTGGGCTGGTGGGTGCCTAAGGATTGTCACGGTGTGTGTGTGATACTAACACTGGGGTGGTAGGCCCTGACGGCTGAGTGTATGGTCCATGTTCCCTGGGTCTCAGGTGGGCCTTGACATGCAGGAGGTACTTGGTTACCACTAGCTGGCCAGGTGGATGATGGCCAGGGTGTCACAGACATTGGGGGACCCGTGAACAGCGTGGGCTAGAGTCTGGGTGTGCGGGGCATTGAGACCCTTGGCAATACCTGTCTGCTGCTAAGGCCACACTGCCCCCATCACCAGCTGATTGTGCTCTGTCCCCAGAAGCCTGGGATCCTGGGAGACTCTCCCTTGGGCCCCCTGCAGCCTGGTGCCCAGTCGGCCAACCACCTCCTTGGGGAGCTGTCTGCAGGTAACAGACCCTGCGCCTGGTCATCTCTCTGGGCCCATTCTGCTTCCCTTTCCCTATTGGGTGGTACGTTTCCAGCTGCATGGCCTTGGGCAAGTGCCCTAACCTTTCTGGGTCTCAGTGTCTGTCAGCTGGGTGCCTACCTTGTGGGGGAACCCAGGAGTATTCTGGGAGTTGATACACGCAGAGGGCTTGCTCAGTGCCCAGCGCATAGTTGTTCCTCGGCAGTTCACCCTGGTCTAAGCAAATGCTTTAGGACCCTGGGAAGGAAGGGTCCTGTATGGGCCACTGACATTCTTTTCTCTGTAGGAGGGGGCCTGCCCCCGGAGCTGCCACCCCGGCGAGGGAAGCCACCACCCCTGTTACCGCCACTGCTTGGTCCTTCCGGAGGCGACCGAGAACCCATGGGCCTGGGTCCCCCAGCAGCCCAGCTCACTACACCCCCTGCCCCTGTGGGACTCCTAGGCACTGGCCTTAGAGGCCTACAGAAAGATAGTGGACCTCTGCCAACACCGCCCGGGGTAAGGTCCTGTCCTGGGCCCAGCACTGTTCCAGTCTCCTGCCCTGCGATGTTTCCCATCAGGAACCCTCTCGAATCCAGCCCTCTCGCCACAGGTCTCACTGTTGGGGGAGCCTCCCAAGGACTTCCGGATCCCCCTGAACCCTTACCTGAACCTACACAGCCTGCTCCCTGCCAGCAATCTGGCGAGTAAGGAGGCCCGGGGCTGGGGAGGCGCCGGGAGAAGCCACCACCCAGCTGAGGGCCCCCTGCCTAACCCCCCAGTCCCCAGAGGCGGCGGTGGTGGAGGTGGCGGCAGCAGCAAAGCCTTCCAGCTCAAATCCCGCCTGCTCAGCCCCCTCACCAGCACGCGCCTGCCCCCCGAACCAGGGCTTCCTGACAGCTATGGCTTCGACTACCCTTCGGTGAGTATCTTTCTGCCCTGTTGTCAGCCCTCCCGAAGGCTGGCCACTGTGGCCCTTTGTCCCCTGGGAGCAAGTCATTCTCCAAACCAATATTTCTCTAGCACTGACTGTGCCAGGCCCAGCACTGTGACAGTGGGGAACATGCCAGACACGGTCCTTGCCCTTCAGTCTCTTGTTTGTTTCTGCACATCAGACCTTGCTTCCTGTCTGTCTTTCTCTCCCAAGAGGCCTTAGGCTATACTTCTCCTTAGAGACAGGGCTCAGCTTCCTGTCTCTCTGCCCTTCTCTCTCCTCTCCCCTCTGAGATTCCTGTCTCTATCCCTGGGGAACTGTTCTTTCTATGACTCCAACGTTTTCCAGGTCAGATGTTGCAGACTGGCCACTTGCAGGCCACCTGTGTTGTTTGACCCACACTGTATTATAAGAAAACTAGTGGCCTGGTGCATGGATTTGTGCACATTGAAAGGAAATCAATTAGAAGAAATATTTTAATATCGCTATTCATCCTTTCTCTATAATAGAACTGTCAGAGATGAAAGAAAATTAGTAAAATGTATATGAAAATAATATATAAATTGATTAACAAACAATAACAACATGATATAACAACAACAAAGACATGATATGAAAACAAAAACATGATACAAAAAAACCCAAAAACATGATATAAAAACAATGACTGATAAATTTATTAAACTTACTCTAATATCTCCCTATACACCACATTAAGAGTAAAGACACTTTCAGAGTGCTTGACTAATTTCCCTTGTGATGAAGTATTTACAACTTTAACGCCACGCACTCTTCAAACTAAAGAGAAAGCAACATATAACTGACCATGTCTGAAACGGGTTCAGGTAGGAATATTCCTACTCTGTCTAGATTGGTGCCAGTGAGAGCTTTATATGTATCGTGCATGTGTGAGTCACCGTTTATTTTTAAATTGCCAGTGTGCGTCATACGTACCAGATGGTTGGACGGACGTATGGTCGGTCACTTAGCCTTTTGTATATAAAAGAGTAACAATTGATAGTGAAGTCTATTAAAAAAAACACTGAAGTAAACGCTGATACCAACATATAAAAACTGCAAGCATTCACACAACCCTGTTGCTCAGCTTGCCTTGAAAACTCCAAACACCTGGCTCCAGTGGGGCCACATGACTTCATAGTAGTCATCTCTGGGTCTTAGGTGGAGCCATCCTTGGGACAGAGCACATTCTGCCTCATTGCCCCACTCTACAGGTCGAGTTTCCCCTCTACTGGAAGGGGCAAACTTCCCTAATGACATCTGTGCTGGAGAATTCAGCTAAGAGTGAGGTTGTTGCAGATCCCAACCCAACACACTTTCTCCCACTTTCATTCAGGACATGGGACCTAGGCGGCTCTTCTCCCACCCACGGGAGCCAGCCCTCGGGCCTCACGGACCCAGCCGACACAAAGTAAGAGCTGCCCTGTGAATCCCACCTTCCAGGTGTATCAGTTAGCTTTTGCTGCATAACAAGTGGTCCTACAACTTGTGGCTTAGAATGGCAAACATTTTATCATTTCATACCATTCTGTGGGATGGTGGGTGGGTGGTTCTCTACACTCACATTATAGCTCAGCTGAAGCTCAACAATTTACAGGGGCCTTAGTCATATACCTGGTGGCCAGTAGGTTGGTAAATGGGCCTTGTCTGGGGGCCTCTGCTGGTGAGCTCCACGTGGAACACCCTCCAGCTGGCCAGCCTGCGTACATACACGTGGTGGTGATCCCAGGATTCCCTAGAGGCAGAAAGGAGCCAGGCACCTCTGCTTGTTGGCCAAAGTCCAGAGTCATTTAGGAGTGGTTTACAAAAGCGGATGGATACTGCAGTAGTCTTCCTTACTCAGCCTGCCTCCTCTCTGCAGATGTCCCCTCCACCCAGTGGCTTCAGCGAACGGAGTGGTGGAGGTGGTGGGGGATCCTTCTCTCACTTTTATTCGGGCTCGCCCACTTCCTACTTCACCAGCGGCCTGCAGGCTGGCCTCAAGCAAAGCCACCTTAACAAGGTGAGGAGCCTCCCCCAGCTGAGCACAGGTTCCCAGGGACAACCAGGACGCAAGGGATCCCTGTGACCCTCGGTGCCTAGGTCAAGGCTGGGTGGTGGCAGGGATCAGTTTTGCTTAGCGCCAAGGTGAATTAGAACAGCTTTCCTGCACCTGTGTGTGTAGCACCTGGTGCTGCCCGGCCTTCTGAGCCTCCGCTTAGTCTCCCAGAAGCCACGTGTTGGATGTTCTTGGCCCCAGTTGACAGATGAAAAAACTGAAGCTCAGAGACAGGGCTAATGTGCCCCCAATCATGGCGAGTAAACAACAGAGGCATGATTTGAATCTGAAGTCCTGACCTTTGTTCTGGGGGATGTTTCTTTTATCCCATCTCCCATTTCTGCCAGGCGGTTGGTTCCTCTCCACTGGGCTCCGGAGAAGGGCTCCTGGGCCTGGGCCCTGGGCCCAATGGCCATAGCCACCTGCTGAAGGTACGGGCAAGGGTTGAGGGCACACACAGCTGGGGAACGGTGACCCCCAGGTGGCCCCTGACTTGCTACCCCCTCTCCTCTGTTTCTAGACGCCACTGGGTGGCCAGAAACGCAGTTTTGCCCACCTGCTGCCCTCGCCAGAGCCCAGCCCAGAAGGCAGCTATGTGGGACAGCACTCCCAAGGCCTTGGTGGCCATTATGCAGATTCGTACCTGAAGCGCAAGAGGATTTTCTAAGGGGCTAGTGCCAGAGATGCTCCAGGGCCTGCACCAAATCGCTTCTGGGTTTTCTGGTGTTTTGTTTTTTTGTTTTGTTTTTTCCTTTCAGTAATAGAAAATCTCTGAAAGACTTTGCTGACCAACCAGCTGGAGCCCAAGGAGTATGGGAGAGTCTGGGGGCTACTCTGCATCTCTGGTCTGCTCCTAGCACGGAAACCCTGCAGCCTTAAGAGAGAGCAGGCTGGGCCCCTTTCTGCCCTCCCTGTGTCCGCCAGCATCTGCCTCTCGGGGAGCCCTCTTCTGCCTCGTCGCTCCTGTATCTTGGCCTTTCGAGTGCCTTGGAGGTTTCCCTGACCTCCCGTGAGGATCAGAGACTATCCCTCTTTTTTAACTTTGACAATTGACTTTTGTTTCCTTTTCTAATTTTTATTATTTTTTAAACAATCCAGGACGACCCCCAGGTCTTATACCTGCAAGTTTCAACATGTCTGAGCCTCCATTCCACACTCTTCGGTTTGAAATGGCTCGGCTCTTTTCTCTTTCTCCCATGTCTTTCCCACCCACCTCCGCCATTCCTCTACCCACTGAAACCAGTCCCCTGCTCTTTGTCTATGGGAGTCCGGCACTGTGCACCTCACTGAGCCTCTGCTGACTCCCCCCATGTTGAAGATGAGCACCGCCATCCCTGGCCAGGTCACTTGGAGCTGGCCTCCCCTTGGACCATTGCTGGAATCACACAACTCCATGCAGATAAACTCTGCTCCTGCCCACCAGCAGGACCTGTTGACCTGAAGTGACCCTGGGCCCGCCCCTGGCCCGCTAGGCCACAGCTTCCTTCTTACTCTGGGCGTCTCCCATCCTCTCACACAGACCTTTGCTGAATTAAAGTTTAGAAGTAAATGGTTTTAAAGAAAGCAGAGCTGACTGGTTCTTGAGACAGTGGGCCTGGGTGGGAGGGCTGGGGTGGCCCTACAGGTCTTGGTGTGCCAGATCCCGTCGCTGCCTCTGCCCCCCAACTCCAGCCATGGCTGCCCCACCGCCGTGGGCGCTTATAGTGCGGTAATTAGTCCGCCTCGCTCGCGCGCTACCGCGCATGCTCCAGTTCCGGGTCACGTGACGCCTGTCATGGCCGCCTCCGTGGCCCGGGGTGGCGTGAGTGCTGGGCTCTTGCTGCGGGTGGCCAAAGGTCGCTGGTGGAGCCGTTCTGGGGGCTTTTGGAGATCCGGGGAGGCGGCGTCACCAGCGACCGCCAGGAAATTCCGGGTGACAGGTACCTGCGGCGCCTCGGGTCCGGGGTTGGGCAGCACTAACCCGTCGGATGCCCGCAGGGCGCTGCGCGCGGCTCATCCAACTGTGTTTTCCAGGCTCGCGCTCGGCAGGGGAGGAAGAACCGAGCGGCCCCGAGCGGCCCGGGGACGTGTGAGTGCGGGTTGGGGGCGGGAGGACTCCCCACTCCTCATCCCACGAGGTTTTCCCGGCCCCCCCCTTCCCCGCAGCCTTACCGTTAGAGTCCCCCTGTGCTCCGTCCTGCTTCCCTGCCCTAAGCCTGGACTCCACCGGAACCCGGGCCCGCGTCCATGCGGCATCCGCATCCCTCTGTCCTCAGGGTGAACGTGGTGTTCGTAGACCGGTCGGGCCAGCGGATCCCGGTGAGAGGCAGAGTCGGAGATAATGTGCTCCACCTGGCCCAGCGCCATGGGGTGGACCTGGAAGGTGGGAGCCAGGCACAGGGAATTCCGAGGCCCTTCATTCCTTGAAAACAACAACACACACACATTAGTTGTCTCTCTGCTGATTAACCCTCCATGGCTTCCCACGGTCCTGGGCTAAATCTAGATTCCTCAGCACTGCCTCATCCCTGTCCAGGGAGCTCTCAAGGTTCCTTCCCCGGCGTTGTTTATTGAGCATTTACTGGAGGCCATGACAACTCCTGCCTGGGAGCTTGTGTTGTCTTTCTCCTTCCTTCCTCTTCTCGCCACACTGGCTTTCTTGCTGTTCCTCAAACCGCCTAGTTCATTCCTGCCCCAGGACCTTTGCATTTGCCGCCCCAGGGTCTGAAGTGATTTTCCATCAGATCTGGTTTCTTATCCTTCACGTCTCAGCGTAAATGTCATTTTCCTGACAATAGCATCCTCTTCAGTGGACCTAGAGTGTGCATGGCCCAGCCTCCCTCTTACGTGACTGTGTTTTATTGTTTTCATAGCACTTCTCACCATTTTGTTTCCTTCTTTGTCATCTCTCCCCAGAATGAGATCAGAAACCCTGTTTTCCTTGTTTACACGTATCTGTTGCCTCTCATGGTATTTAGACACAACAGGTATTAAGTCAGTATTTGTTGAAGGAAAGATAATAGCAGACATTACTTTAAGCATATTGACACATATTAACCGACTTTTCATGACAACTTTATGTCATAGTTTATTTATATATTATCATTTTATTTATTTTTGTTTTCAAATATATATATTTTTTATTTCAGAAAGGAAGGGAGAGGGAGATAGGAACATCAGTGATGAGAGAGAACCATCAATCAGCTGCCTCCTACATGCCCCCTACTGGGGAGTGAACCTGCAACCCTTGCATGTGCCCTGACCAGGAACTGGAACCGTGACCTCCTGGTTCATGGGTTGAGCAACACTGGCCAGGCAGATTATCACATTTTATAGGTGAGGAAATTGAGTCCCAGGTTACGTACACCTGGTCCAAGGTGAAGTGGCAAAATTAGATTCAAACCCAGCAATTTTAGCCACTAAACCTATGCTGCTCTTCTATGAATACTGAACACTAGTGTGTGCCAGGCAACAATGTACTAAAATAGGTAAGGCTCCTGTCATTTCACACCAGTTCCAACCTAGTAGGGAGTAAACATGTAATTATATCATCAGCAACTGATGATGGTCTGAAAAAAAAAAGTACAGGGTTATTTGTTGGGTGAATGTAATAGGGAGGCTGATTTAGTCGTTAGAGAGGTGGAGATGTTGGGGGTGGAGTGCGGGTTGCGGCAGGCCTTCCTCAAGTTTTGTTCTGGAATCCAGTAGCTGGCAGTCTAGGACATAGATTGGAATATGAGTTTTAGAGGCAGGTGGCCTGTTTTCAAATTTTGCCTCTTACCAGCTGTGTGACCCTGAGCAAGGTACTTAGCACCTTTTGGCCTCTGTTTTCTCACTTATAAAATGGGATAACTTAGCTCCCTCTTCCTTGGGTTGCTACAGAAGAGTAAACAGATCTCATGTGTAATGCTTAGTACCTGGCACATGGTTAGTGTGTAGTGACTAATTGGGACATTTATATTAGACTAGAGGCCCGGTGCACGAAATTGATGTGTGTGTGTGTGGGGGGGCGGAGTCCCTCAGCCCAGCCTGCACCCTCTCCAATCTGGGACCCCTCGAGGGCAGTCGGACATCCCTCTCACAATCCAGGACTTCTGGCTCCCTACCGCTTGCCTGCCTGCCTGATTGCCCCTAACTATGCTGCCTGCCTGTCTGATGGCTCCTAACTCCTCTGTCCACCTGCCTGATCCTGATCATCCACAACTGCCTTCCTCTGCTGGCCATGTTGTGGTGGCCATCTTGTATGTTGGAGTGATGGTCAATTTGCATGTTACTCTTTTATTAGATAGGATAATCTTGATCTCAGGAATGAGGATGCTAACAAGGTGGGAAACAGGGTGAAGGAAGAGATGCTAGGGAACACTTGGAGTTTCAAGGCCTGATTTCTCCCCGGTAGACAGGGAGGTTCTGCTGGGACAGGAAGCTGCCTTGCTTCTCCACTCTCGTTACCCGACATGTCTGGGAGAGAAAGGAAAATATTCTGTCCTGTCATTCGCTTGTAACAGATGTCTCTCAAGCATCTACAACATGCCATGTGAGGCTCAGTGCCAAGTACAGAGAGAGGAAGACAGGTTGACAGGGTGTGATCAGTGCTGTACAGAAATTAATAAATTAACAAGGGGGAAGGACAAGAAACAGGCAGGGGGACTTGGAGGACAGCTGGGTTCCGAAGTACAAGATCTTTCGAGTTCACGAAAAGAGTGGCGAGAAGAGCATCCCAGGCTGAAGGTGTAGCAAGTGCAGCGGTCCTGTGGTGGTGGCGGCGTCGAGCCCAGGGAGCCAGTGTGGTTGATGTGGAGTGAGTGAAGGGGTGGGGGGGCCACCAGGACTGCGTGGGGGAGTCTGGATTTCATTCTGGCTGTGAAGGCCCTTTGGAAGGTTTTAGCCCAAGGGGGACATTATCCCCAAGCACAGTTCTCAGTCATCAGTCAGAGGACTGGGAATGTGTCCAGGGACAATCAGAAAACCCCAGCTTCTGCCTCTTCCAGCCTTTATTTCCTGTCTCCTTCCCCTAATGCACTGGTGCTGAGTGAGCCAGTCCCTCCTTCAGGAGCAGAAAGGAGGCAGGAACACATTTGCCCAGCACAGTGACAGCAGGGGAATTCAAAGGCCAATGGGAACCTGCCTGGCCTTTCCCTCTCCGTTTGCTGGGGAGTCCTTGGGAAATGCGACACCTTGGACATCTCTTTGCAAAACCCATCCACAGCTCAGGAACAGCGGGGGTGTGGGGGGGGGCTCCCACAGGGCATACAGGCGGGAGGGACAGATTAGGGGCACGTGATGAAACAAAAGGCTTCCCCCTTGGCTTTCATTGGGTGATGATGCCACTTACCTAAACTCCCTTCACTTGCTGCCCTCCAGGGGCCTGTGAGGCGTCCCTGGCCTGCTCCACCTGCCATGTGTATGTGAGCGAGGACCACCTGGACTTTCTGCCTTCTCCTGATGAGAGGTGAGCGGGCAGCCCCCTCGCAGCTCGGAGCCGCAGGGTTGGCTGTTGAGCCTTTTCCTTCCCAGTGTCCAGAGGCCCACTGGGCAGCCCTAGCTTTTCTCCCCTCTAACCCTTCCCCTGGACTCAGTCGGCCTGCCCCGCCCTGGCCTGAACGGTGATCTCTGCTCCTCTGAGCCCTCACCAGCTGCACCAGCGTGCCCACTGCTAACCACTGCCTCCCTCGCCCAGGGAGGATGACATGCTGGACATGGCCCCCCTCCTCCAGGAGAACTCCCGGCTGGGCTGCCAGATCATCCTGACCCCGGAGCTGGAAGGGGCCGAATTCACCCTGCCCAAGATCACCAGGAACTTCTACGTGGATGGTCACGTCCCCAAGCCGCACTGATAATGGGCAGCTGGACCCTCCCGGACACCCGTGGCCCAAGGGCCAGGACTGGAGAAACAGCCACGTTGCCAGCCCAGCCCAGAGCGTGGACAGGCCCGAGAGATGCCAGAAGCACCAAGAGGGCCAAATGCTTCAGAGAGACCCCATGTCCAGGCTCTGGTGGAGACAGGGCCCCTGCGGAGGCAGCCTCTCCAAGCCCCGGAGAACCTGCGTGTGGAAAGGGGTGGAATCTAATTAGAGTGACAATAAAACCACCTTACGGAACTCCAGCATCCCGAGTGTCCTTGGCGGGGAGGTGGGGGCAGCCCCGTCCCGCCCCGGAACTACAACTTCATCTTCCAGGCCCTCGACTCTCACCTCCCACAGCAGGGAAACTGAGGCAGAGGCCTGGAGGCCTGGCACGGGGCCTGGAGGCTGGAGGGCTACGCGTGCGTCAGTAGGGCAAGGCCCCGCCCCTGCAGCCGCGGAGGGATATGCAGGGGCCCAGGCCACGAGGGGTGTGCAGGGCCCCCAGCAGCGTCCGGGAGTAGGAAGGGGAAGGGCCCGGCTGG